GGGGGAGAACTTTACGAAATCAACAAAAAGCATTTGTTTAATCATTCTATAACAAACTGTGACACCAGAAAACTTAAATTGTCATAATTCACTGTTATAAAATATCCACGCCGGGTGGCTAGCCCATCCAGCAAACTAAAATCTGCTATTAATTGCATAAAAATAAAAATCCCCCCGGCATTCGGCAACGAGGAGATAAAGGAAAAACACCAAAAATCAACCTCAAAATGACCCTCTGATGAAACCAAATCTAGCTCGCAAATGGAGTTGAAACCTCGCCATTTTTAGCAGGGTTGTAGAAATAGGATAAGAATAGGCTATAGTATTTTTAGAATTTTGATTTAGGCTTTAGATTTTTGATGATTAACGTCGGAAGTGAGGTAAAATAACAATTAAAATAATGTTTTTTTTACCAAAGGTTTAATTTGTCATCGCCTAGCAACATTAAAATGCACGTGCGCGAGCACCCACAGATTAACAACCTGCGTTACCATTACATGGATTATTATGATACGTCTTGATTAGCTCACATTTACATTTTACGCTCACAATGTCACTATGCATAATTTTGTTTGTGATTGAAATATTTTGATGTGGTAAAAGTATCGATTAGGGAATCCGAAAACAAACAATTTTCGTCATTGTTTAATAAAATCCATACTTTCTACAATGCAGAGGCCAGGGCTAGCTTAGCGCTAAACGACGAAGAGATTAGAGAAATTTAACATAAATGATTTTTAAAATTTCCTCGAAGAAAGCTTTGGACTTGCGGGTTTCTAGTTGTATATATCACAAAAAGAAAGTGGCACTCTTAATTCTGTCAAACTATTGTAGGCTTTTAAACTAACAAGACTTGCACCGAGTTTTGACTCGTCGACGGTCAAATACATGATATCTGAAAACTATTCTAATTATTACCCGTTAATTCGAAAATTTGTGATGTATTTCTTGATTGTTCATTGTTGATAGAAAGTACACGATCTTTGGAAAATATTTGCTTGGAAATACGTTTTAAAATAAATAAGAATAGTATAAAAAGGGTCAAAAATTTACTATAATACTATATACTTTTGGTTATTTACTGGTTCACTACGGCTTTGAAGCTAAAAAATTATTCCTACGGCTTTTGAAACTATTTTGCACTAGGAAGGTAACATTGCTTCAGATGGTTGAGTGATCTCAGTTTCTTGAAGGGCTATAACGTCTAATTTATGATTTATATTGAGTACAGCCACGTCCTAATATATGTTGATCTACTTCTTTACTCAGCCCACGAACATTGAATGTTGCAAGGGCTAGAATGAGTGAGAAAGGGAGCCAGTAATCGACCGGAATTCCCGGCGCCGTGAAATCCCGGCACTGGGGGAGCTATTTCTTCCCGGCCCCGGCCGATTTTCAATTTTTGCAGTGAATTTTTGATCGAAATCGGCCTAAAACTTTCATATAAATCTTAAAATGGATTTTCAGTTTTGAAAGGATGATGTCCAGAGTGCCAACTTTCAAGAGCAGTCCTTTGTTTTTGTAACCGCTGATAGTTTTTACAATTATGATATTCCACCTAAATCCTTAAATCTTAATAAATAATCATTGAGCACAGGACCGTTATGTTCTAAATTTACGCTCTCGCTGAAACGAGACACGAGTTCAGTACTACAGTCTACACCAGCCCGCTCACGCTCTCTTGACCATTTATTCCTTATATGGCGCGTGTTAACCAAACATGGCTGGGCAAGTTTGTATCACGTTAGCACAGAGTTTGTTAGCATAGAGCAGACAGAGGACAGTTGGGGAGACATTTTAGTTGAACCGGCTTCTACAGATGAAAGTGGTAGCGAAGCAGCAGACGAAGGAGAACTTATAAAGGGGCAGATTGATGCATACTTGAAGGAACCGTTGTTGGCCAGGGGCAAGGATCCCTTGAAATGGTGGGCTTCTCACCAGAAAGAGTACCCCCTGCTGGTGGACCATGCTAGGAAGTATCTTTGTATACCAGGGTCTTCAGCTGCGTCCGAGAGGGTCTTCAAACAGACAAAAAGGATCGATGAGCCAAGCCCCCGCATCCTCCCTAAAAACATGGAAATGCTATTGTTTATTAAATACAATCTAAGGGAGATAGGATATGAGACCGAGCTGCCCCAGCCTCTGTCGGATTGGAGTCCTCCCAACAAGAACAAGATACCTATCTCAGAGAACATTGCTCAGGAACCAGAAACTTCCGATTCACTTTCGGAGGGACATAATAGCGAGGACAGTAATTCTGAAAGTGATGAGTAAATATAATAGTGATGAGTAAATATAATAGTGTGATAACTGATAACTTTTGGTTTCAACATATTTAATATTTTGGCATTTCCCTGTGTTCGGTCTTCACTCTTCATTACAAACTGTTTCTGCTGGACTAGAAGTCCAGGAAGTTATACTATTTTTAATTTATATTTTTACAACTTCACGTTGGAATCTTTCAATACTGCATTATTTACTCTTTCAGCTGAACAAAATTATTTTACCAAAATATATATGAAATTTAATTACCTTCTAAACTGTTCAATTGATACGAACATTATATTGTCATGTAAAAATAAGTTCAGATCCTAAGTCCTGAAAAGTTCTAACTTGGCCGTGGATTTATTAAATTCACGGCCCCGGCCAAATTCCAGAACGGCCAATTCCCGGCCCCGGCAAAATTTGGACATTCCCGGCCCCGGCCAAATCCTACCCCCGGTCGTTTACTGGAGGGAGCAACTTAGGGACGATGAGTAGATCAGGCTTAGATGCTGCAGCAGGACTAATCTGGGGTGGTGTCACAACTTTTAGACTATCTAAACTGTTCTCCATCCAAAAAAGATGCGTACGCCTTCTATTTGGAAGCAAACCAAGCTTTGACCAGGCAGAGTACTATGAAACATGTGCACGTGCAAGACCATACAGTGAACACATCGCAAAAAGGAGCTTTGCTTTGGAAAACACTAAGCCAATATTCAATACCGAGAAAATCATGTCAATCCACAACCTGTACATCCAACATTATATATCCACTGAACTGTTTAAAATCTTGAAACTGCATCAACCCATCTCTCTGAGAAGTTTATTCCAAACAAGTTCCAGAACATGTAGCCAAACTATGCGGGTCCCCCGACACAAACTTGGCATTTCTAAACACAATTTTGCCGTCAAAGGTACGACTATATGGAACAGTTTGGTTGATAAAATATTCGACAAATGCACTCCTAATGAAAACAATGTCATGGTCCCTGGCTCTAGTAAATTTTCCGACCTTTCCTCCCCCATCTCAATTATCAAGAGCCGTATCAAAAAGCTGTTACTTGAAACCCAGCAATTGACAACACCTGGGCGTGAAATTGAGTGGCTCCCCCTAAATAGCTGGGGCATTGAACCAGCTTAGTTGATCAGCATCCCATCCCTTGCATACAATTAATTACAAAAGCGCTAATTATACCTGTTTCAAAAGCATCCTGTCTGGAAGTTCCCTGACTGCCGTGTGAATCTTTGGATCTATTTTTGGATCTATTTTTATATTGATATGATTTTTGTATACCTATATATTCATCACATAATTTCCATGTCCGCCTGAACAAACTTGGCACCATCAAATCTTACCTCTAGAAATCCCAGAACTCATCAAGCCTAGTCTGAATTCAAAACTAGTTGACCAGCTATGTACAGTTTCCTGAACAACTGGAACCTTTTGGGCCATGCACAAGCCAATAGCATGTATGGTCCTGCAGTGGGGTCTCCTTGTCCTTGGATCTGTGTTCTGATCCGTCTTTTCTTAAAATTTTCCATTTGTGTCACTTAGACTCACCTATTAAATGTTAATCGACACCACTGGTCCTAGTTAGATTTAGCCATGGTACGACTACTCAAACGTAACAGTTAAATAGGTGTGACATACTATTATATTCTTATACTTATATCATATGAATTGATTGCACTGCTAATAAATAAAATACTTTGTTTTACTAAAAAAAATACTTTGTTTTACTGTGTCTCCCTGCTTCTGCCGATGTGCCTGACGCGACGTCATCACTGGTCATTCAACCTAAATTCACAACGACTTTGTTGTTACTTTGTATGAAAAGGGTTAATATTTATTAATTACGGTCTATAAATTTGAAATCCTTAGAACAACAGTGATCTCTCTCTCTGTGGAGACAGAGGTGCGAGAAAAAACATTGTTGATATAAACAGTCTAGATCTTAACTTGGAACCACAAGGCCAAGGGCAATTTTTGATTGTTAAGGGAGTTTTTTGAATTCTTAAAGGGTTGATTTTGTATAGGGTAATTGCTATATTATGTGTATATTGTTTGAATAATTTTAATTTTAAAATAAAAAAAAAAATTATGGTCTATAATAGTTAGAATTAAAACTAAAACAATAATACTATATTTTGATTCAATAGAAATTATGAAGAAAAGAAAAGTAGCTGACAGTGACTCAGATAGTTCCTCACTCCTCACTTCTTCCTTGGAAAGCTTAAGATCAGGTTTGGGAAATGAAACTTTGTGATCATTTTGATTCAGGGCTCACCTGTCTGATTTTAATAGTTGCTAAACAGAGTTGGACGATTCACCGAAATATTTGTGTTTTTTAATACTTTTTCATGATGGTTCCTTGTACAATGGACATGTATCATGCAGCGATTGATTCACAAACCGTCTAGTGCAACATAATATATATCCTAGTGTGACACGTTGGCCTTAATAGCTCAGCGACTGAGCTATTAAGGCAACATATGGGTACTGACTGTTTGCCCTCCCTGTACTACACATCAAACGAGTGCTAATGTTAACTAAAATTTCCTTTTATTACAATTGAATATGGAGTTTTTTAACTGGCGCGGCCTAGCTCTGGCTGCACTCCTATGACCGCGCTGTTGCAGGTGGACAGGCAGTTTTTGTTGTGCAGTAGCGTTGCAAGAGAACTGTGAGAGAACTGCAAGAAAACTGCAAGAGGACTGTGCTCCACATCTCTGAAGCCATGGAACCGCTAGAACATGAGATAAGACAAAAGCTCCTGCCAAAGATGCTGGGCAGGGAGATCTCAGACTTAGAAAGAGACGTGTTAAGTCTACCGGTAAGATTGGGAGGATTGGGCATTGGTAAACCCCACGAAGAATGCCACTCCACACAGTACACAGCCTCCAAGCTACTCACCACTGAGCTAACAAAAGCAATATTGGACCAACAGGAAGTTTACACTGCATCCAGTAACCTCACCAAATCGGGGAAAGAAATGATCAAAACATTGAAGAATTCCGAGCTCCAAGCCAAGTTTGAGCTAAAGCTAAAAGATGTGGCACCTCCTCTAAGAGAGCACTTGAGAAAAGGGAGCGTCTAGTTGGCTGAACACATTGCCACTTTAGCAGTATGACTACACTCTGAGAGAGAACGAGAAGGAGAAGAAGGATGAGTACTTGGAGAGAGTGTTGAATGTGGAGAGGGCTACCTTCACCCCGGCTGTATTCCTAACATATGGAGGAATGTCTAAAGAGTGTAAGCAGTTCGTCAACAGAGTAGCAGACCTCATAGCAAGAAAAAGGAAGGAGAGGTACTGCGATGTAGTAAGACATGTCAGAACAAGGATTAGATTTGCAATGTTGAGAACAACTCTTATTGCTCTACGAGGGTACCGAGGAAAGAAGGTGGACACCAAACGTGAGATTCATCTATCAGAAGTCTCATACAACCTCATTCCTGCCCCTATAATGGAGTAGATCATGTGTTTTGTTAAAATGTTTTTAAAAACAAATTATTGGTAGCAATGAATTGTGCTCTGCCAATTGCAACACTAAAAATTTGATTGTGCTCTGCCAATTGCATCACTTGATTTAATTGAATGTATATATACTGTTTGACACACTTTTCTTTAGAGAATAAAACCAACTTATTATGTATAATTAATAGAATCAAGAATATTATTGACTATATTTTATGACGATGAATCGTAAATTTCGATCAATTTATATTTATTCGGTCTCCAATTATTGAACTGCGAAAGCTGGTTGCCTCAACACTGTTGACTATGGTATGACTGAATTGTCAACCTGAGATTATTAAACGAAAAAATCATGTGCCGTTAAGCAGCAGGACGCAGCTCACTTGGACCACAGCAAATCGGCAAAAATGGGTCCGGAAAAGCCACCATTGGCACTTGGGTCCTTGATCTTTCCGATGGTACACTGGTCCTTTTGAGCTGCCGTCCTTCAGCTTCTGTCAACTGAAATTACTACTAATCCAAGTTGAGGCAGTTATGGTTATATAATATGATATATGTTTAATCTGTAATAAAGATCAAAATTCAAATTTTTATTCCTTTAAAAAAATTGTAAATGTTTGGGACTAAATTTTACTTAAAACTTCAGTGGAATCCGATATCAGTTGCAGTTATGATTCGAGTAGTGACATTGTCCAAGATATTAGCGATGATTCCTCTCCATCCTCTTTGTGCAGCAATGTTAGCTCGACCTTGGAAAGTCTTGCAAGTAAGCAAATGAAGTTAATTTTAATAAATGGGGTGCATTTGCAGTACCTACACACAATAGGTGACATTCTCCTTTAGGTTTTCTGTTACAATGCGGAAGTTGTGTTCCAACAACGTTAAAATTATTATGAGTCCTTTGAAGATGATCCCTTGACCGAAGTGAACTTCACAGAACAATGAATTTTCTTTAATATTTTCAGGTTCTTACCAATCAATATCATTGGCTGATGAACTAGATGAATTGGATCTAGACGAATTGGATGAGGATGAAAACAGTGATAGTGTTAGAAATGTTCGTATTGATCAGTTGCCGATACTTCTCAAGGAAAATCCATCCAAGATACAAGTAGAGATGTTGAATAACGTACTCTTTGTTATTACCTTTACGTTGGCTAACAACCTGTCTTATGTCGCTATGGAAGATCTGTTAAGACAATACAATAGATCTAGCTTAGCCGGCCTTGAAACTACCAGGAAAATACGTAATTTTTTGAGTAAACAGTCAGCACCAGTCAATCACTATTACATTTGTAACGGGAAGAGTTGTGATAGCTTCTACAAGGAGGGAAATGTTCCTCAACAATGTGAAAAATGTGGTTCAAACCTTGATGAAAAATACCTCAGAAAAAATGGCTATTACTTTTTGTATACTTCAATCAAGATTCTGCTAAAATCTTTCCTCGAAACTGAGAGAAATGAATTGCGGGTCAAGCAATTCTTAGAATTAATGGAACAGAACGGAGGATCTAGTCTGTCGGACGTCACAAACTCAGACCGATATAAAGAGCTGCGAAAGAGGTCAGCAAGAATCCGGACAGCTCCAGGGAATATGTTTTCAAGCTACGACGTGATGACATGCATGATCAATATCGATGGGGTAAATACTGCAAAAAGTGCAACTAATTCACTCTATCCATTACAGGTAACTTTTTTTTTCTTTCTTCCAAATTGGTATTGTGTTGTGGTGCCAGTGTGTTCTCTCTGTATGGTGGACATGTACAAACTATCGAAACGATTGATTGAGAAAAAAAGGTTATATCACAAGGCCCTAGTTAATTAAAGCTTTGCTCCACTACGCTATGTTCTGATTCTAATTCTAGAGTACTCAAGAAGCTTAGAAGCTTAGAAGGTTCTGGATTAATCTATGAATACTGGCCTGGGCAGGCCAAATAACGGATCGGATTGTTAAATGCAATATTTTAGATATTGACATAACAATTGCACTCGACCATTTTAAATCTCTAGGAATTGTATAGTCCCAGGCGAAAAACAGATCATTGTACTACGAATAAACATAAACTTAAATAAATTCATTACATTTTTGTTTTCAACAGGTATGCCTCATTGAACTGTTGCCGTGGTTAAGAAGACAGTGCATTCTCACACCGTTTATTATAATGAAAAACAAAAGCAGAGACATAGACTTCAAACAACGTTATCTATTACCATTTGTTACAGAGTTTATCTCTCTAGCAACCGAGGGTATTACATGGTTTTCCATTTCACTGAACTGTTTTGTTACGACACAGTTTTTTGTTTTTTGTCTGAATTGCGACAGCGTAATGAAACCGTATTTGCTGTGCATCAAGGCTCACAGTGGGTATCATTCGTGCCCGATGTGTATAATGAGAGGGTCCGTGCACAACACGAATGTTTGTAAACCCGCTGAAAAGGATGAGAATAATCAACTTGTAATTTACCCTTTGAGGCCTACATCAAAAGCAGATATTAAATCTTTTGTTACCAAACCCAATTCAGAAGACAAGTTAGGACACAAAGATGTCCCAGTTCTTGAAGACCTCCCTTTTTTCACCGTCTTTTTATGTACATCGATAGATATGATGCATGCTATCGATCTTGGAGTATTCAAGAGGATGTTCAAAATAATCTTCTGCACCAAAGGATATAAATACATTAAAAAAGGGGGATTTAAAGTCGCAGAAAATGTCATGGATGAACTGAATGGAGTTTCCTTCATTGAAAGAGGCCCCAGAACTCTGGCAGAGTACAAAAATTGGAAGGCAAGTGAATGGCATTACTGGGGATTCATTTATTCGATTCCAATAATGGACAGACTAGTCACTGCCGGTCTTATGGATTTTGAACACTACAGCAATTGGATGAACCTTTTGGTAGCACTGAGCTTGTTAAATTCAGAAAACATCAGTGACTCGAATCTTACTGAAGCTCAGTCGCTTATGGACAAGTTTGTCTTGAAATTTGTTGAATTGTATGGCAAAGGAAATGCCAGTTTGAACTTTCATCTGCTTGTCCACGTCCGGGAATCGGTCAAGCATCTCGGACCTTTGTGGGCTACCACATTGTATCCTTTTGAATCGTACAACCAAGTTTTCCTGAACTGTTTTAGACAGGGAACCAAAGGCGTCGAAATGCAAATTGCTGAACGGCTGCAATGGCGCCATAGAGCAGTGGAAATATACGATTATGTAGTCAAACATGATAGAAACTCTGATATTGATTTTTCGTTGGCTGGAAGAGTGTGGGCTGTTTCACATTCATCCTTTAATACATCTGGGCTTGGAAAACCCTGTAAATTTTCAAGCATTAACGCATGTAAGAATAAAGATTTTAATCTCAATTCTGAAGAATACCGGCTTGCAAAAGAGAGCCTACTTAATAAATGTGATATGAGTGATGCTAGAATATGTGTGTATGATCGTGTTAAATTAAAAGGAGTAGTGTATTGGAATGAAGGTTATTTTTTAAAAAAACAGGGGAAAAAAAATGAGTCTATTTTTTATAGTCAAGAATTAAACACTTTTGGCGTAATTGATCGTTTTATCGAGGTTAATGATGAGATGACTGTAGTTTTCAGAAAGCTTAATGCTGTTTATGATAATGTTAATAGAACTGAATCTTTAGTTAACAGTTTGTTATATGCTAAAGTTTGCAAACGGGAAAGTGTTTTATCTATTATGAATATGAATAAGATAACATGTAAATGCATGGGAATATCGACTGCAGAAAGAGATTCTGACAAGCTTTTTGTGTTCAGGCAGCAAAACCGTAATGACTGCAAATGAATTGGTTTTTTGATTTCTGGACATCAAATTTTACAACCAGCTCATGTGGTTTCCTTTTGTCATGCAGCTCCTGAATGAGGTTTATATTTTGTGATAATCTCCTATATACATTATACATTGTCATTAATTTAAACAATAATAGTAGTAAAAGTATTACATGACAGTGTAATTATGATATATATATATATACCAACACTACATAATATGCAGTTAACCAATTAAAAACCATTTGCCACCAACTGATTTAAAAAACCTTTACCATTTGGCTTCCTTATAGTTTTCTCGGCACTATACCAAAAAAACCAGTCCCATAACTCTTACCGTTTTCTTGATTAAGTCGCTCGGAAATTACACACGCAGCACACACAGACAGAGAGACACACACATTCTGAGATAATTGCTTAAGATTATATTGCAGTGCAAGCAGCTAGATTCAAGATGCAGCTCTTTTAATGGATTTCAATTATGTCAAAACAACGGAGAATATGTAGCAACAAACAACAAAATGGACACAGACAGGACAAGTAACTGTGCGGTACAAGCCACTCAATCGACTAGGAGGAGACCCTTTCAAGTACAAGTAAGAAGAAACTTTGTTTTAAATTAAAATGGCCTAGATAATAGATAATATAGCAACTCTTATACACAAGACAGGACAATTTTTCCTCCCTTAGCAGCTATACCTATCCATAAATGTTGTTCGATACAACTGGATTTGTTTTACAACTCCTGATGTTTCCGTTATCAGGAATCAGGATATATCAAATGAAAACTTCTTGATAAACTTAGTTTAAAAACCATCTTTGTTTACAGTGCAAACATTTCAGGTTTCGGGGGCTTATTTAAGCCAATCAAAACATCAACAAAACCGTGCATCATTCGGGCAATTGAGTTAAGTTGCAAAGTTTTGAGATGTTCAAAATTACTATTTCCTGACTGGTTTCATGTTGGTATGATAACTTTTCATAATATCTTAAACTGTTCATAATGTGTTTGTGACGAGTTATTGTACAATCTTTGCTTCCACGCTAAACTTCAGGATCGATGCCCATGCTTACGAACAATTTGAAAAAGGGAGAATGCTACTGGCAAGAGATCATATTGGTCGTTGCTATCGTCTGCAGAGATCTATATATAACTTGTTTGAGCAAAAATTGGTGACTTTACAAACTATAAGTAATAAATCATTTTATGTATTTGTTTTAGAATTTAATTTTTGTTGAAAAATATGGGCGGTGTATAAAGTATTCTTTCGGCGAAGGTTACGTTTTAACACCTACGTTTCAGGAATTTTGGTCTGGTCTGGTTTTGGCATCAAATAGTTGCAGTCCTCCCCACAACTATTGGACGAAATATTGGTATGTGATATTCATTTTAGTTTCTAAAGTCGCACCTTCCACATTTTGTTGAATGCAATTTCTTAGTGGAAACGTGTCTCCACTCTCCTGGATCGGACTAGGGTGAATTTTTAACGACATCTTCAATATAATACCCAATTTATTAAAAGAACATAGCAAGAAAGAAAGCTCATATTTTTTATAGATAGCTTTAAACAAGAATATTGTTCTACCTGTGGTGTTGAACATTGTCGATCTGTGGCAAAAATTAAATGTAACTGAGAAACAAATGATTGACTAACATGATAAACTACTATACTGGTATGGTCGTTAAAAATGGCGTTTTACATAGAAATATCGCATTCAGCTTGTATCGGCTGCAGCTCACACGTCTCTCCTAAATTGTTGACTCAAAAAAATATGAATTTCAAGAATTTGGTTTCAAAATCAAATTTCTCCTAATATGCAAGTGCGTGTGGCACTTTGTGGATAGTTTTAAAATTTAACAGATGCTAACCATTAAACTTTTTTGGCTGGGAAGGAGCGTCGCCATATGCAGAATTTGTGATACTCTTCGCGCGAAATTGACATGCGGATTTATTGACAATTCCACAGGCGCGCAAATCGGTGCGTATGTAAGTAGCCTCTGAGAGGCTAGTCCACAGCCTCTGAGAGGGTAGTAGTAGCGCCTCAGAGGCAAGTGACTAGCCTCTCAGAGGCAACTACTACCCTCTCAGAGGCTGTGGACTAGCCTCTCAGAGGCGACTGATTTTTAACAGGGCAACTACCCTAAACAAGAATTGCGCCCGTTGTTTCGTTTTGGCGGACGCTAGATTTCCGTTCACTATAACTATAAATATAAGCTCCAATCAGCTCACTTCATAATAATAATATTGATACACGTCAGTACACTATACTACGCATGCCAAGTACAAATCGGGCTTGGCCCGCTTATAACCTAATACTATACATTACACCGTTATATACATTGAAACACAGTCGCGCCGCGCATTCATTGACCACAGGCTATCTATACATCACATCTCCGCAAGCAATCCTCGCGCGCTGCACTGCGCGCTGGTTGTCATGGTAACGGACGGAAGGACAGATGACAACATATTCAGACCTGCCTATCGCTATCTCCAAAATCCACGTTTTTCTGCAAAAACGTCCATTCGTAACCTTTCACTATTGCCTTTTTTCAAAAGGGTGAACGGAAAAAATGGTAGAAAGCAAAAGTCAAGACATTTGAACGCAGGTTTCCGACCTCCAGAAACACCTCCAAAAGCTCAATCCTACCTCCTGTTTCCCCTGACAACACCATTCGAGTGATTTAATTGAGGGAACCTTCGGAGGTGACTCAGTAATGATAGAGATTATTGAAAAGTTTGAATCTATAGAGACGTCTCCAAGCTTATCATCTAACACCGAAAGACAAGCACAGCTGAGAGCTCAAAAACAGGAGCAAACAATAGCAAAAAGCTCTTTAGTTATGTGAAAAGAACTGGGTCATCTTCGTGAAGAAAACTGCTCAATCCCCAATTACATGCAGAAAAAATTACTTTGACCAAGACGGAACCATGCCACCAGAGGAACTGCAAATGTTGTGCCATGATTGGTAGTGAGGAATTTTATCGTATCAATAGGGTTAAAATCAAACCAGTACCAGGAACTTGTTCTAGTTATAATCTAATTTATATTTTCATCTGTAAATTATGTCTTTCCCCTTTTTGTTATGTTGGTCGCGCTGTTAAAACACTCCATGAAAAAGTTACTGAACATAGAGCTAATTTTTATAAATTATCAAAAGGCCCTTCCTTTAAAGTTTAGCGATGATTTCCTTTAAGATGACAATTATACTTATAGTTGAGCAGGTCACCTTGTAGACCAACATAAACTTTCTAATAGATCTGATTTTGATACTACATATGGCGTTTTTATCCTTAAAAATTCTAGTTCTAGTAATTTATAAGTTAATAAACACCTCCTTATTCAAAAACTAAGAACTTTAAAACCATGTGGTATAAACTCATGTGATCCTTTTGATATGCTTCTCTTATTTGAAAATAATTCTTTTGATAGTGGTCCTTAAATTATTCTACCCTCTATGCTGGGACTAGTATTTTCACTACTAGGTGGGGCCTCAAAACCTCCATACCCGAATGCTTTCCATCATTTTGTGAATTAGCTTTGTTCCTATTTTTTACAATTTAATTTACTACCTTTGTTAGGTACTGTTGATGGACGAAAATATTCTACCGATGTTATAAAGATTTTGTTGGAATGTTTGAAGCTCATTCGTTGTTTGATTGTGGGAAAAACCGATCTTGATCTATTCAAATAAATTACCTTAGCGGACTTTATTTGAACGAACATTAAAATGAGCGCTAAAAGTCCGATAAGGTTTGAGTAGGGGAATGCTCATATTCAGCTCAGAGAAAGCATACTTTTTAAGCCGCGTTCAACAATAAAAAAGTTTACCAATTATATTGATTACTCGCTTGTGAGACAGGAACATAGAGTGAAAGGAGATTGGACTAAAAAATAGAAAGAGTAGAGATTAAGGATCATTGTGGTAATAAAGAGAGGAAGTGAGATAGTAATTGAGGAGGTCAAAATTAGGTATTAACCAATATAAAGTGTCGGAAGACACGCTGTGTTTGAATTTAATGAATTTAGGGATTGTGTCAAGGATGGGGAACTGATACTAATTATTTCGATACTTCGGTGAGGTTTAGCCAAAAGAGTCAGCGTCATCGCACTAGTATACTTGAATTAGACCGTCCGGCTGGAAGTAGACCGTTCGGCTGGAAGTAGACCGTCCGGCTGGAAGTAGACCGTCCGGCTGGAAGTAGACCGTCCGGCTGGAAGTAGACCGTCCGGCTGGATGTCCGGCTGGATGTTATAGTCTTATAATGAGCTACTGCATGAGGTGGTGTAACCCGGAGTTGGAGATATTTCTTTGTCAAGATACTGTCCAATAGCTGCTTGGAATGCAGTATGTTCCGTTGCGTTGTTAATGTTTATGGCATGGTCTTGGGCAAAGGATTCCACAGTTTTGCAGGTTTTACAGAGAAGGAGTTCTCATAGAGGGTCTGATCAATAGCTGATGGACATTTTCCCTAAATAGCATTGACTATTGAAGCAGATGTTCTGTTTGAAGATCGTGTTAAACTTAACTTACTTGCTGGTTAGCAAATTTCATTTGAAGGTAATTGCTTCCTTGTAAACTTTAAATTCATTTGACCATTACTTACAAAAGTAGACCGAGCAATGATATCGACTGAAAATTGGGATATATATCACCTTATTTGTAGTCAGTAATCTGTAATGTGACGTACTCATTTTTATTCGTTGTTGTTTTGGTGTCCCTAGCTGCCGATTCCTACCCGAATGATTCAAATCGAAGTCTACTAATTATCAATCATCCACCGACGGTTTACCTTTATTTCTAACACTGTATTTTTTATCATCGGAACAGATAAACAGATGTGCACGCTTCTAACTTATATAGGCATAGCAGTAAGGGTACATGGAATGGAATCAGAAGATGGGATGGCAAACTATTCGTGTCTCTATATTTCCATTCTCTGTTCGACACATAACTAAATCATGTCCTTTATTCTCGTCTTGAAATAGAATTTTCAAGTTACAGCAGCATATTATATTGTGTTGAAAAATGAAAACGAGTTTTGTGAATTAAGTCAATTAAGCTGATTAAGACTT